TGTGTGTGCGTGTGTGTGTGTGTGTGAATCTGTGTTTGTGTGTGTTTTGCTTCAACCAATGTCAACTATCAGTCGCCGAGTTACCAAAAATATATAGTGGCTTGTAAAATTTAACGGGAACCAGAAAGAAAAATTCAATCGCCATGAGCAATTACAATATAATAGATGCGGATGGAGAGCCAAGGACTAATTTATAGAAAAGAAAAGGACCAAGGAACTACAAGATTTGCTATTATGTCCACTAACACTACCAGTTACTAAACAATCAGCTCAAGCGATAACATTGCACGACGGTACTGACGTCCTACTGCTACGGAATTAAACTTGATGTTTTCTTGCGCTTACTGTTACAAGTAGGCATTTGTAGAGTTCCATCAACACTGCAAGTTGATGTTGCAGATCCATTCATTCTATAACCAGTATTACACGTGTAATTCACACTCTGAAGATAGGACACCATTGTCTTGTCTGCATTGCCATTCATGAGTGTTGGCACTGTGCAATTCACAACTAGCAGAACAAGAACAAAAGAACAATGTGAAGAAGAGCAAAAGAAGTTTGGAAAAAAGAACTGAAAACTACCCGCATGCTCTAGGCTCTTTGTCTGACATTGAACATTATCTGTAGCTCGGTGATAAACGGTTTTGAAAATTGGATGATATAGTCTTAGAGATGCCTGTATAACAGATCTTCCAACTCACTGTTACAGACGGGTTTCAGCTCCGTCAAAGTTCCAGTAGCACTGCAAGTTGCTGCTTCAGATCCATTTATACTATAACCAGTGTCACATGTGTAATTCACTTGTTGAAGGTATGACAGAACTCTCGTGTGACCACGGCCATGGGTGACAGTTGGCACAGTACAATTGACAACTAGAATGAGATGACAATGAAAAGGCAGGGAACAGAGAAAACAAGCAGAAGAACGCTAGAAGAAGCAGCTCGCCAGATTAAGCAAGGATTCAACAGGTTCGATTGGCATCGTATGCGCTCTACATGCAGTCGTGAGTCAGTCAAGTGTCAAGTCAGCCATTATGAATGTCAGTGTAAGTGTGTGCGCGCGCGCGTGTGTGTGTGTGTGTGTGTGTGTGTGTGTGTGTTTGTGTGTGTGTGTGTGTGTGTGCGTGCATGTGCGCGTGTGTGTGCATGTGTGTGTGCGTGTGTAGACGAGAATGGCGCCTCATGTGCAATCATCCCCGGCCGGCTGTGCCAAAGCCTAGAGTGTTCGTTTGCGGCTGTGGCAGGGTCTTCCGCCGGCCCAACGATCTAACTCGAACCAGGAATACTGCAACTCCTAATGCTATCATCGCATGAAGCAATGGGCATCCAAGGGTCCAAAGGTGTGTGTGTGTGTGTGTGTGTGTGTGTGTGTGTGTGTGTGTGTGTGTGTGTGTGTGTGTGTGTGCGCGCGCGTGTGTGTGTGTGAATCTGTGTTTGTGTGTGTTTTGCTTCAACCAATGTCAACTATCAGTCGCCGAGTTACCAAAAATATATAGTGGCTTGTAAAATTTAAAACGGGAACCAGAATAAATAATTCAATCGCCATGCGCAATTACAGTATTATAGATGCGGATGGAGAGCCAAGGACTAATTTATAGAAAAGCAAAAAGAACTACAAGATTTGCTATTATGTCCACTAACACCACCAGTTACTAAACAATCAGCTCAAGCGATAACATTGCACGACGGTACTGACGTTCTACTGCTACAGTATTATACTTTATGTTTTCTTGCACTTACTGTTACAAGTAGGCATTTGTAGAGTTCCATCAGCACTGCACATTGCTGTTGCAGATCCATTCATTCTATAACCAGTATTACACGTGTAATTCACACTCTGAAGATAGGACACCATTGTCTTGTCTGCATTGCCATTCATGAGTGTTGGCACTGTGCAATTCACAACTAGCAGAACAAGAACAAAAGAACAATGTGAAGAAGAGCAAAAGAAGTTTGGAAAAATGAAGTGAAAACTATCCGCATGCTCTAGGCTCTTTGTCTGACATTGAATATTTTCTGTAGCTCGGTGATAATGATGTATGCATGTAATGAATTCAGTTTAGCGTAGGCGCACATCTCGCAACTATGTATCTGCTGCGCAACAGCGCCCTCTACAGTTCTGGCCGCGGCACTAGTTTAGCGCGCCCTGCCGCGACCGGCAAGACTGCCTGCTGTGCATCACATTAATTTATGCGTACGCCATCACAATAATTAATTCAGTTTTGATCGGGTCCGAGTCCGCAACGTGGCACATCTCCTTGCCATTCTCAGTTTTGAGTCTTCTCTGCTTTGGCTCATGCCCGACTTGCATCCTGCTCACTTTGTCTTTTGCTGCTGGGCATCGAGCAGGACTGTGGCAGACTGGAGGCCCGGCTACCAGACACCAAGTTGCAAGATCTCCGCACCTTGCTCGACCAGTATGTCAACCGTGGCGACATGACCCAACGCGAACTCGACTCACTATTGGGAAAACTCTCTTTCGCAGCTCGGGTAATTATACC